CGATGTGAGAGAATCTGGATCCCTTTACCATATTTTTTTGGAATGTAGGTCTATCATTCCCTTTTGAGAGGATGTACGGTCCCTGCTACGTTCATTACTATGTACCAACCTTCCTTTTGAACCACTTTACTTTCTACCCTTCCCAGGCCTCCCCAGATTGTCCAAACTCTTCATGCATGTTCTGACGGCGGCCAGGAGAAGCATCCCAATGTGTTGGCTCTCTTCCACACCCCCCTCGCTGCCGACATTATTTAAGATTATTACAGACATAAGAAAAATGGAATACTTAACCGCTCTCCATTCCAGCTCTGTATTCATATTTGAAACTGTATGGGATGCCTATATCTCTGCTCAATTTGTTCAAAATGTACTGATTTTTTTTTCCACTGTTTCATTGACGTATATGTGTGTTGTGGTGTGTGGGGTTTTTTTTTTTTTTTTTCTTTTTTTTCAAAGTCTCATGTATATTTATACGTGTGAAAACTCAATAAAATGTTAATTACAAAAAGTTTGCATGCGTTTGGAGAACTAAATACAGTATGTACATGTTTTCTTAAAAAAAAAAGTGGGCAGGCAAAACACATTTCTTATGGGATTCATATTCATCTGTAGGCCAGAACAGAATTGCACAATCACAAAACGTGGCAACAAGAAGACAAATGAAATGACCTCTGTACAAAAGTCGGCATACTCAGTTCTTAACCACTTCCAGTCCGGACACTTTTACCCCCTTCCTGTCCAGGCCAATTTTCAGCTTTCAGCACTATCACACTTTGAATGACAATTGTGCGGTCATGCAACACTGTACCCATATGAATTTTTTAGCATTCTTTTGAGACAGAACTCTTTTTATTTTGGTGGTATTTATTTACCACTGGAATTTTTTTTTTTTTTTTTTTTGCTATATACAGTAATACCTCGGTTTAAGAGCGCCTCGGTTAAAATAATTTTCGGTTTACAAATTTTAAAATCCACTGAAAATAATGCTTCGGTTTACAAATTTTGTATGAATTTTTTTTCGCAATACGAAGTATATGTCAGTGCTGATTTTTAAATGCAATTGCTGGCTTTTTTGGTGTGCGTGAGTGTGTGGGGTTTTTTTTTTTTTTTTTTTTTTTTTTTTTTTATTGTCGACAATTCTTTTACATTCAGCTGTCAGTGGGGAATCCCGCTGACAGCTGAAATATTAACACATGGTTGTCACTACTAAAAAATGCCGCATGACTTGATAAAATAACTCATGCGGTATTTATTAGTGTTTACTTTTTTTTTGATCTCTGGAACAAATTAATTGGTTTTCAATGCATTTCTATGGGAAACGGCGTTTCGGTTTAAGAATTTTTCGCTATAAGAAAAGTCCTGCAGAACGAATTAAATTCTTAAACCAAGGTATTACTGTAAATGAAAGTCCAAAAATTTTGAAAGGTTTTTTTCTTAGAATAAATTTTGGCCAAGATTTGATGAAATATTTATTCGCAAAATGTTATGTTTATCTTTTTAGTAAAAAAAAAATAACCCAAATTAGTTTAATTATAATTTAATTTTTTTTTACTTTTTTTATATTAATGGGGTTTTTTTTCTACATTCTGTCACCCTAGCACAGCAATGGGCAAACTACGGCCCGCGGGCCGTATACGGCCCGGCGGACCTTTTAATCCGGCCCGCGGAGCTAGGCTCCCGCAAGGCCAGTGGTCGGCAAGCCGCGGCTCTTTACAAATTTAGATGCGGCTCTCCTGTGTGCCGGGCGCCCGCTCCCCTCCCTCCTCTCCTCCTCTCCCCCCTCCTCCTCTCCTCCTCCTCCCCTCCCCTCCTCTCCTCTCGGATGGCCGCCCCCCCTCTCGGATGGCCGCCCCCCTCCCTCCTCTCGGACGTCAGGACTCTGCAGCTGTCAGGATGTAGGCGGGGCAGCGTGACGAACTCCTCTCACAGTCCTCCCTGAAGACCAGAACGGCGCGGGAATACGAGAGGAACGCGCGGACCAAAGGTAAGTGAATTGACACAGGGGGGGGACTTACTATATGGGGGATGAATTACTATATGGGGGACTTACTATATGGGGAATGAATTACTATATGGAGGACTTACTATATGGGGAATGAATTACTATATGGGGGACTTACTATATGGGGAATTAATTACTATATGGAGGACTTACTATATGGGGAATGAATTACTATATGGGGGACTTACTATATGGGGAATGAATTACTATATGGGGGACTTACTATATGGGGAATGAATTACTATATGGGGGACTTACTATATGGGGAATGAATTACTATATGGGGGACTTACTATATGGGGAATGAATTACTATATGGAGGACTTACTATATGGGGAATGAATTACTATATGGGGGACTTGCTATATGGGGGATGAATTACTATATGGGGGATGAATTACTATATGGGGGATGAATTACTATGTGGGGGATGAATTACTATATGGGGGATGAATTACTATGGGGGATGAATTACTATATGGGGGATGAATTACTATGGGGGATGAATTACTATAGGGGGGATGAATTACTATGGGGGGGATGAATTACTATATGGGGGACGAATTACTATATGGGGGACGAATTACTATATGGGGGACGAATTACTATATGGGGGACGAATTACTATGGGGGATGAATTACTATATGGGGGATGAATTACTATGGGGGATGAATTACTATATGGGGGATTAATTACTATATGGGGGATTAATTACTATGGGGGATTAATTACTATGCTTACTATGGGGGAATATTACTATACTTACTATGGATGACACATACACATCATTCATCTACTCTTGGTCCGGCCCCCGGGTCCAATATATGAACCCATTGCGGCCCTCAAGTCAAAAAGTTTGCCCACCCCTGCCCTAGCAGTACAGTATCGCCATGGTGACACTGTACTACATGTGGGGAGTGTTTTATTTTTACACCGATTTGCTTTTACACCCATTAAGGCTGTAAAAGCAATCATTTCTCCTTCTCTCTGGCTGCATTCTTGCAGCCATTGAGAAATACTGAGTGAGCTGTGATTGGTCACAGCTTGTCACATGGTACAAGGCTGTTGTGAATAGCCTTGTACCATGTGACCTCTGTGATCATTCACAGATTTCACACATAGTAAGCAATGAAGTCACAAGTGACCTCTTGCTTACTACTCTGCATGTGATCACTGATTGGCCAATCAGTGATCCGGACCTCGCACAGAGGTCCCGTACGACGATCGGTGTTCCATTGTGGCCAGAGGACACCGGATCGTGGTGCTGCACACTCCCAGGGAGCGTGCACAAGCAGGGGACGGGGAGGCAGTTTATAAACGGCCACCGGCCCCTGCACTGCCACCATCCGGCCGTTTTATATACAACGGCCGGGCAGGAGGTGGTTACTACTGGTTGCCCTGATTTAGCATCAATGACAGCATGCAGTCTTTTGTAATAGTTGTCTATGAGGCCCCAAATTCTTGCATGTGGTATAGCTGCCCACTCGTCTTGCCAAAATGCCCCCTAGGTCATGCAAAATCTTTGGTCTTCTTGCATGGTTGAGATATATCCTCAGAGTGGCTTGATGATATTGATGTCAGACTGCTGGTCACTCTAGAACCTTTACCTTTTTCTGCTGTAACCACTGGTGGGCCAACTTGGCCTTCATGCTTAGGGTCAATGTTGTGCTGGAAAGTCCAAGAGCGTCCCATGCACAGCTTTCATGCAGAGGAATGCAAATTATCTGGCAGTATTTTCTGATAACATGCTGCATTCATTTTGCAATCTAATTTTCACAAGATTTTCCAGTGCCCTTTTAGAGCTCCCACATCCCTAAAATATTGGTAAACCACCGCTATGCTTCACAGTGGGGATGGTATTCTTGTCGCTGTCTACCTGACCTTGGCTTGGTATCGAGATTCCAAATATTCCACTTATCAAAAAATGATTGGACGGTAGTGAATTGCATATTCAAGGCTTTGGATATCTTCTCTTTTTTATAAAGTTCCATTACCTTGGTATGCAGGTCTTTTTGACAATTCGTTTCTGTTCCCGTGGCTCAGTATCGAGCTTGAACGTGTGCAAAAGTATTTAGTATAACAGAACTATTGTATAGCACTTGAAAATGGCTGCCTCATTGCTCATATACAATTTTTATAAACCTGAAATTTTTTTTTTTTTTTTTTTTTTTAAGGGGAATAAAGTGTGGGTAAACCGTTCCAACAGAGGCAAACCGAGTTAAAAAAAAAAAATCTAAAAAGGAGGTTCTAACCCTTTCCCACTGCATCCAAAGCTAAACTGAATATTGTGGCTAGAATTAGGATTTGGAGTTTATTTTGTGTAATATAATTTAATGTTTGAAAGGATCCCGACCTTTTAGACCCTTTTTTTCCTTTTATATCAGTATTTTCCTTTTTCTGTGCTGCGCAGCTGTCTGGGTGTGGCATGGGCTCAATCGATCGAGCAATCAAAGTAAACCAACACTCAGGTGGGATACAAGAAGATTGCGAAGTTTATTACGTACATTACAGCTTATATTGACAAAAACCACAAACCCAAATTATCCAATAGTAAGGCAAACCTAAATTATCCAATAGCAAAGCATACCTTTCTCTTTTTCCCAGATACTAGACAAAGTTTAATTTTCCCTAAACGGTTAAACCCCAGTCTGTACATTCTGCCTATTTGGTTATGTCCCCGGATCTCTTATCTGAGTATCAATCTATATCTATATAAGAAACTTTGAGAACATCTGCGGTATAGCTTTCATCCTTGTACAATTGCGGTTACACCTGTTACATACACATTCTAAAATTTTCCATATAAGCTTGAAAATAATGCTGATATTTCATTTACTTAAAACATCACTCTAACTCTTATAACCATGCAAGCATAATGAAAACAAAATGGTACATGAATCAATAGCCCTAGCTCATATTTTCCCACATGTTTGCATGTTTCTTTACTGATTATAGTCATGTGAATAGTAATTTATTTTATTTTTTTTTTCATTTTAGAATCCGTCTAATGATTGTTTCCCATATCGAGTGAACTCTGAGCAAAAGCCAATTGCTCCATGTGGCGCTATTGCGAACAGCATGTTTAATGGTAAGAATTTTGCACTACAGATAAGGCTACTTGTACGTGGGTATTACAACCTTCTGAACTGAATGGACTGCCTAACACAGTACAAAATCAGTGAATTGCGGCCCACTACATCCTGGTGTGAACAGGCCCTAATGCTGATGGTTTCTCAATAGTTAAACTTTCTTCATCCAAAGGCACCTGTATTTCATATTTTAACTTTTTTTTTTTTTTTTCCCATTTCAGATTCTATTACCTTGTATTACTTCAACAGTAGTGGAACATATGAGGAAGTTCCATTAAATGGAAAAGGAATTGCATGGTGGACAGATTACAACATTAAATTCCGGAATCCAGTTGATGGCAATCAAAACCTATCTTATATATTTCAAGGTGAGTTAACAAAAAAAAAAAATGGCTAAAATAGTAAATATACCGCTGTGCTCAAAAGGTTATATACCCTGGCAGAAATTGTGAAATGTTGGCACTGATATTGAAAATATGACTGATAATGCCAAAAAATGCTCTTTTATTGAAGGATGATCATCATATGAAGCTATTTATTATCAAATAGTTGTTTTGGCTCCTTTTTTAAATCGTAACGATAACCGAAATCGCCCAAATGGCCATGATCAAAAGTTTACATACCCTGGAATGTTTGGCCTTGGTACAGACACACAAGGTGACACGCAGATTAAAATGCCAATTAGAGGTTAATGTCCCATATCTGTGGCTTTTTAAATTGCAATTAGTGTCAGTGTATAAATAGTCAATGAGTTTGTTAGCTCTTACGTGGAAGCACTGATTAGGCTAGATACTGAGCCATGGGGATCAGAAAAGAACGTCAAAAGTCCTGCGTAACAAGCTAATGGAACTTTATAAAGATAGAAAAGGACATAAAAAGATGCTCGAGCAATTTCCAGTTAAAGTAGTGCAGTACTGAATGGCAAAACATGCCGTGGTCCTAAAGAGGGTAAAACTGAGGTCAAGTGGTTAAAATCTGTTTTGTAATTTACTGAAGAATCTTTATTTTTATTTTCACTCTACTTACATAAGTAAATGTATGCATGTAACAGCCATTTTATTGTAATTGGATGCAGTGATTTTATACCTAAAAGTGAACCTTATTTGGAAAATGTTTTCTTAAACAACCTCCAGGGACAGCACCGCCTATAAATTGGTCAAAGTCCGTGTACAACCTGTCCAATGACACTTATAATAATGGCTTCATAAATGAGGACTTTATCGTATGGATGAGAACAGCAGCATTGCCTACATTTCGGAAATTATACCGGAGAATTGATAGTGGAAATTTTTCAGCTGGTTTACCTATGGGACAGTACAAACTTGTGATTGAGTACAGTATCCTTTTCACAGAAACTGGAAAATGTGTGTATTTCTATTTACTGTTTTTTAGCTTTAAAGCCTAGTTCAAGCTGAACTTGTTTTTTGATAGTGTGGGGGCAGCTTCTAGCTCTTTTAGGTGTTTATTGCTGAGGACCGAAAGTAATGGGACATTCTCAACAGGTACACAGACATAAACAATATTTAGAAGAGCTAAGCTGGCCATAGATGGTTTGAATTTTGCCCAGTTCGGTAGGGACCAGCCGATACGCGAACCAAGTATGGGCAGGCTAAATGTACCCAAGTTGATAGATCAACTTGGCTACAACCAACCTGCCAGATTTTACATGCCATTTATTAGTAATCACTGTGTTGACCACAAAGTTACATAGTCTGGCTGGAAAAAGACAAAAGTCCATCCAGTTCAACCAAAACAAGTTATGATCCTAAACCCACAGTTGATCCATAGGAAGGCAACCCCCCCCTCCCCAGCAAAGCATCCAATTTGCTCCTGGAGGGTGGAAAAAAATCCTTTCTGATCCCTTGAGAGGCAATCTGATATTCCCTGGATCAACTTTACCTATAAATGTTAGTATCCAGTTATGTGTATCTAGGAAAGAATCCAGACTTTTGTTTTTTAAAGCAATCCACTGAGCTGGCCAGAACCAACTCTTGAAGGAGTCTATTCCACATTTTCACAGCTCTTACTTACTTTTACCACACCAAACTGTGAAGTAACATTTACTGTTAATCAAAGTGCAAAGTACAGTGGGGAAAACAATTATTTGATCGCCTGCAGATTTTGTAAGTTTGCCCACTTACAAAGAAATGGTGGGTCTATAAATTCTAAAATACACCTATGATAAAACATTTCTAGAGACAGGATATCAACCAAAAAACACGATACAAATGTTAGAAAGCGAGTTGCAGTTCAGTGAGTAAAATAACACCACATCAACCCTATGGGCATGACCAAAGAGCTGTCAAAGGATGTAAGGGGCAAGATTGTAGATCTTCACAAGGCTGGAATGGGCTACAAGACCATCAGCGAGAAGCTTGGTGAGAATGAGACAAATGTTGGAGCTATTACTCGCAAATGGAAGAAATACAAAATAACCATCAATCGTCCTCGGTCTGGAGCTCCATGCAAGATTTCACCTTATGGGGTAAGGATGATCATAAGAAAAGTGAGGGATCAGCCCAGAACTACACAGGAGGAGCTTGTGAATGATCTGAAGGCAGTTGGGAGGACAGTTATCAAACCATTGGTAACACAATACACCGCCATGGATTGAAATCCTGTATCACCTGCAAGGTCCCACTCAAAAAGGCACATGTACAGGCACATCTGAAGTTTGCTAATGAACATCTAAATGATTCAGAGAAAGATTGGGGAAAAAGTGCTGTGGTAAGATGAGACCAAAAATGAGCTCTTTGGCATTAACTCAACTCGCTGTGTTTGGTGGAAGACAAATGCGGACTATGACCCTAAGAACACCACCATCCCTACAGTCAAGCACAGTGGTGGAAACATTATGCTTTGGGGCTGTTTCTCTGCTAAAGGTACAGGTCAACTTTGCTGCATTGAGGGGCCAAATGGACAGGGCCATGCATTGTAAAATCTTGGATGAGAACCTTCTTCCCTCAGCCAGAACACTGAAGGTGGGTCGTGAATGGGTCTTCCAGCATGCCAACACAAAACATTCCGCCAAGGCAACAAAGAAGTAGCTCAAGAAGCAGAATATTAAGGTCAGGGAGTGGACTCTCCAGTCTCCACCTTAATCCTATGGAGAATTTATAGAGGGAACTGAACGTTAGTTGCCAAGCGACAGCTAAGAAACCTTAAGGATTTAGAAAAGATCTGTAAGGAAGAGTGGACCAAAATCCCTCCTGAAATATATGCAAACCTGGTAACCAATTTCAAGAAACATCTTTCCTTTTGTGCTTGCCAACAAGGGTTTCTCCACCAAGTATGTTTTGCTTGGGGATAAAATACTTATTTTACTCACTGAACTGCGACTTCTCCATTTATAACATTTGTATTGTGTGTGGTGTGTTTTTTTTTTTTTTTTTTTTTTTTTTTGTTTTGTTTCAGGATTTTTGGTTAATATTCTGTCTCTATCATTTCAAATACACCTGTGATGAAAATTTTATATAGCTTTCATATTAAAATAATTTTTTTTTTTTTTTTTGTAAGTGGGCAAACTTACAAAATCTGCATGGGATCAAATTCTTTTCCCCACTGTATCTACTTCACAGTAGCACTGTGATGAAGTAAGATCAAAATATGTAAAGCATATATACATTATAATGAAAGTCCACAATCCTCAAAGTGTTTCATTCCTCCTCAGCCTGCTTCTTCCCACAAAAATACCACAAAGTGCTGAAGCACATGCCTCTCTCCTACAAACACTCAGACTTGCCATTCCTTGCATAGCAGGCTCTTAAATATTCCACATCTGCTCTCCGGTAGTAGTTCTCAACTCTAAGCTCCTTACTCCACTCCACCAGGTATCATTACCGTGAAAAGAAAAAATGTCACCAATGGTACAGTAACCAAAATCTTTAAAAGTGAAAAGCCACTCTCACAATGTAAAAAAAAACATTGTGCTCCTCTAAAATCTCAAATGGATAGGCGTCAGATGTGGTGTTACTAATGTGTACCCTCATCCCTTCCGGTTCCGGACCGGATGCCACATCCAGTCGCTCACTTCTGACATCATTGCTTACTATGTGTGAAATCTGTAAATGATCACAGAGGTCACATGGTACAAGGCTATTCACAACAGCCATGTACAATGTGACAAGCTGTGACCAATCACAGCTCACACAGCATTTCTCAATGGCTGCAAGAATTCAAGCAGAGAGAAGGAGAAATGATTGCTTCTACATCCTTCATGGGTGTTAAAAAAAAAAAAAAAAAAAAACCCATAAAAATATAAATTTTAAAAATGTTTTTACATTTTTATTTTTTTTATAATTTTTGGTTATAAACTAATTTGGATTATATTTTCTTTTTTACTAAAAAGATAACTGAATAAATTTTGGCCAAGATTTGAAGAAAATATTATTTGCAAAATTTTATAAGAAACTTTTGCAGAATTTTTGGACTTTCATTTATATAGCAAAAAATAAAATAAAATCCCAGTGGTGAATAAATACCACCAAAATAAAGCTTTATCTGTCTCAAAAAAATTATATAGGTACAGTGTTGCATGACCACGTGATTGTCATTCAAAGTATGATAGCGCTGAAAATTGGCCTGGACAGGAAGGGGGTGAAAGTGTCCGGACTTGAAGTCAAAGCAAGTGTAAACGAGCCCTTAAAGAGTCACTTAACCACTTCAACACAAATTAAAAAAAAAAAATTAAAACGTCTTCCTGAAAGTTAGGAGCATAATGTGCTAGTATGCATTGCATAAAGGCACATTATGAAAGACTTACCTGACAACTAAGCTCTCCAGAGGAGTGCTGTCATGGCTCCCTGGGGCTTCCATCTTCACCTTCCAGGTTTGCAGGCTGCAGCTGTTTGACTGGCCAAGCTGCAATGACATCACTTCCACGCATGAGCCAGTATCCGCTGCGGCACGGCTCTCCATGGACAGCATGCTGAGAGCGCAATGTGCATTGTGCTGGTGACATCACTGGTACTGCTAAAGTTAAATATCTCCTAAACTGTGCACATTTAGTACATATTTATTGTATATACAGGTAAGTCTTATTATAGGCTTACCTGTGTGTTTTTTTTTTTTTTTTTTTTTCCGTCTTTAAAAACAGACTTGACTACTGCTTCAACATCCTTGGCAGATGCCCTGTGTGTGTTGATCTCATACTTGCAATACCTACAAAATTAAAGCAAAAGCTAAATAAAAGACTCTAAAAAGCTGCAGGTGCTGTAAGCGAGCTTTTTCGGAGACTTTGAAAGCTCTTTGAAGCACCATTAAAGTGACATGGTGTATAATTTTTGAAGCAAGGTAAACAGGACTGTAAGCTAACCATTTTATTTAGTGACAGGGGCTTTGATTGGCGTTCAGAGTGCTTTTAAAAAGGCTTAAAGATCCTACTGCAAAGAATAGGACTTTTAGAACTATTTTAAAGTGACTCTTCAAAGAAGAATTCCAAGATAGGCAAAAAAATCACCCATTAGTAAACCCTCTAAGCAAGGATTACATCATATCCTCTCCTCTCTCTCTCTCTGCGGTAAATGGAAACTACAGTTCCAATCAACCACAGGAAACTGTAGTGCATGTGCGTGGGTACACTAGGTCTGTACATGTTGAATGTGTTAAGTCTTGGTCCGCCCACCACTGCAAGTGGGACTGAATTACATCACTTCTTCCTGGAGAAAACTACAGCAGGGATGAGCCAAGGAAACCAAAGAGAATTAAAGGTTTGATTTAAAAACTAATAGGCTATTTCAGAGCAACTACTGAGTCAAAGCACCGGTCGCTAAATAAAATGGTTGGCTTCCAGTCCTGTTTACAAGTTTGTGTTTTGCTTTGCTTCACAAATTATAACCCCATGTTGCTTTAGTAGTCGCGTACGGCACAAGCAGCTTTTGAGAGGCTATTATTCCGCTTTAGCTTCGCTTTTGTTTTGGATGTATTGCAGGCATGAGATATCAACACGCACAGGGCATCTGCCAAGCTTCAATAAAGCCCCGCCAAAGCATCAAAGCATTTTGAAGTGGTAGGTGCTTTTTAAAGTGTGTTTAAGTCAAAGCAAGTATAAATGAGCCTTTAGCCTTTCACTAGTTTAAAAAAAAAAAAAAAGTGTATTAAAGATCCTACTGCAAAGAATAGGACTATTTTAAATTGAATCTTTTGAGACTCTCCACTTAAAGAAGAAAAAATTGTATTAAATATCTTGCTGCAAAGAATAGGACTTGCTCCTAGTGCTGCCTAGCTACGCTGGATGAAAACTCTTCCTTCCAAAACACAGGATAGGGAAGTAAAACTTTAAACTAGGACTGTCTCTCTTTAAGAAAAATAAAACTTTGGTATATGAGAATCCTTAACTATTTCTCAACAGATTATCCAATAATAGGTTTTGGAGGAAGAAAGAAAATTGTCTTCAGCACTGTATCTTGGATGGGAGGGAAAAACCCGTTTCTGGGCATAGCATATCTTGTATTTGGTTCCTTATGTACATTCTTTGCGATCGTAATGCTTGTTGTGTTCATAAAGTATCAGGGTAAGAATGATGATGATATCTCTAACGCAACATAAATCTAGAACACTGCAAGTGATTTCAGATATAACTTTGTTTACATGTCAAAATGAAATGCACATATTGCATCCTATGATAAACATTTCATGGGCTTGATCCTTAATGGACTGATTCAAACTCTGTCATAATGGAATGCATTTAAATTTCCTTTTATACCTCATTTGCAAGCCCTTACTGATGCATGATAGTGATAGGTTTTCCACTTCAGGGACCCGTCTGATCCTTAAAGAATAAGTTCACCTTTTGGAACATGTTAAATGTTCAACCCCCCCCCCCCCCCCCCTTTTTTTTTTTTTTTTTTTTTTTTTTTTTCTCTATAAAAAGACTGACAATTTTGAGAACAAAAACTATATTTTTTACTTTTTTGCTATTAACATGTCCAGTAAAAAAAAAATTTTGAAAATAAAATTTCATCAAATTTTGGGCAAAATGTATTCTGTTGCATGTCTTTGCTGAAAAAAAAAAAATAATCCCAATACGTGTAAGTAAATTGGTGTAGGTGAAAATTATAGCGTTTACAAATGCGGCATATATACTGGGATTTTTTACTAGTAAGGGTATCATTACATCACGCACACCCCTTATCCGGACATGCGAAATCACATGCGTGTGTATATATATACGTGATTTTGCGCACCCGTGCTACCCTGCAGCAGTATATCTGCTATTTACGGCCATGGGACTTGTAGTTCATTCATAGAACTCTTAAGTGACGACAGCCTTAGTGGCTGTCAGCTTGTAGTTCTCAATGAATTACCACGGCGCTGTGGAACACTAAGGCAGTTCATTGATTCTTCCTGTCAGTATATCTGCTTGCCCATATATCCCGTATGGGCAAGCAGATATATACTGACAGGTCTGCAGGAGACCTGCATGGCACCAGTAATCTGCTGATTGCTGGTGCAATGCTTTTACAGGCTTCTGCAACAAAAGATAATTGCACTTTTTTTTTTTTTTTTTTTTTTTTTTTGCAGGAAAAAAAAAAAAAAAAAGTGCATTTTGTCAAAAGGTGAACTTAATCCTTTTTTAATGGTAATGGTTTTTGCTCTGTCTCCATAACATTTCTTTACGCACCCTGGGCTTCCAACTTACTGACTTTGACTTTTAAGATAAATCATTGTGATGTCCCCTTGAAAAGTGACTTTGCCATATGTAAACCGGTGTTTTTTTGTGTAGTATATAATATATACATGTAGGATCTGTATATGAGATGCAACCCTCAAAATATGACAAGAAAGTAAAAAAAGCAGGTTGTGCCTACTTTTTGTTATAGTAAAAATCTAAGTGGAAGTCCATATACTTCCTATTTACTGGTGTAGGACCATAAGAACTGGGAGTTTAATGAGGAAATACTGATTTTTGTTTTATATGAAATACAATAAATCAATTTTTAAAGAAAAACAAATTTATTTCTATGTTTTGTCACTTGTTACTCAGCATTGTAATAATACTACAATAGTTTTTTTTGACAATCCATTATAAGCTTACTTGAAAAATCTTTTGTTCTGTGAGTTCTGCCTGTCTGCTGACCATCTCTTTCCATAACTTCATGCTTTTCATCTCCTCCTGCTGTTTACTTTCAATTGCTAAAAAAACACATATCCCATGGTATTCTGCTGCCTATAAAAGGATTCCTGTACTGACTGCTGAAACTCCACCCTTTAGCACCTCTGCAGTTTAGAAAGTAGGCTCTGTGAAATGTGTGACACAGCAGTGCCCACTCAAGGATATAGTGAGTGACACAATTAAGCCTAGTATTTGCAACACTGGTAAAGAGCAGCATAAACAGCAAACCATATAAACAAGGAGCAGTGTAAACTGTAAGGGAGTCTGGCGGTACCCCTCTGCAACAATAAAACAAGTGTCCTAAAGTGCACTCTGTGTCTATTCCCCTGAATGTAGATGTATGTATAGCTCCTTAAGGGGGTTCCCCTAAGAGGTAGTTGTATGTTTGTCACCTGGTTTGCAGACTTGAGCTGGCTATCCATGGGCCCAGCAAAACAATAAAAAGTAGCTGGTATAACTTTAAAAGTAGTGATATTACAATATAAATACAGAATGTTACCAATACATAGACCACTACAGGAAAGTAAGTTACAGAAAAAAGGAACAAAGAATAATGTTGATACGTTACGCAGACAATCTTGGATTCCCATTGTGCTCAGTGATCAAGAGGTCCAGAGAAGAGCAAGTGGGGGTCTTGCGTTTGTGCTGTATACAGTGAAGGAAATAAAGATTTCCTTCGCTGTATACATAAATATGCTTGGCGATAGTTTGGTAGCCCAGTCCAGCCTTGTGTAGGTCTACAATCTTGTCCCTGACATCCTTGGACAGCTCTTTGGTCTTTGCCATGGTGGCGAGTTTGGAATCGGATTGCTCCTGGGGACAGGTGTCTTTTATACAGGTAACAAAATGAGATTAGCAGCACTCCCTTTAAGAGACTGCTTCTAATCTCAGCTTCTTACCTGTATGATAGGTATCTGGTAGCCAGAAATCCTGCTGAATGATGGGGGATCAAATTCTTATTTACCTCATGAACATGTAAATCTGTGCATAATTTGTTAGACATGCATTTCTTTTGAATTTTTTGTTGATATTCTGTCTGTGTTACAATACACCTACCATTCGATTTTTAGAATGATCATTTTTGTGAGTGGGCATTCAAAATAAGTAGGGGGTCAAATACTTATTTCCTTCACTGTACTCTTTGCAAAGACCACCCCCCTAGATTAACCCACCCAGGTAAAGTCACACCCTTCCACATATTTTAATCTCTAATGGGTGGAGAGCAAGACACTGGTCAGTTTGGATCACTAGCTGCTGTTATAGAAGACAAAGGTCCCAGCTGCCTTCCTTCACATTTACCTCAATCAAGTTCTTTGAAGTGATATCCCCCCCAGAGTTATTTGTCACATACCCCTTTAGTGCTATTTAACCTGACGGAATTCTCTGGCCACTTGGTAGTGTAATCTAGGCCTGGCTTATGTCCTTTCTATTAGTGCAGTTCTCAATGTCCACTTCCTGGAATTTCTTTAGAACTGAGGCTTGGATACCTATCAAAAGTTAATGAAGGTAAAAATTATTGTAGGCCCAAAATATCCATTACAATAGAAGCCAGGACCAAACAGCCAGACCAGTCCAAGGTCTGTGCTACATATTATTTTAAATAGATACACTTTAAAGCTGCTAGCAACCACAGCAAGTGAGCCAATGAGGAGAGAAGGGGGTAGGGCCAACCACAGCTCTGTGTAAATAAATATACAGAACAGTGGCTCGGGAACAAGCCTGCTTAGGTCCCCCATAGCAAGCTGTCTGTTCTGGGGGCACTCAGCAGGAGGGAGAGGCCAAGAGTGGACCCGAGAAGAGAATCGGGGCTGCGCGCTGTACAAAACCACTCCTCGCGCGTGCGTGTTTTTTTTAACTTGTCTTTAATATCACTTTAAACTCAAAACCAAAAATGTAATATATTGCAGCTTATCCCTCATTAGATGTGATGGCTGCATTCATTTTCTTTGGCTTCCCCCTCCCCCCATTTTTACCTGAGGATCTGGCCAGTAACACACCACATGTATGAGTGCTCCCATTCTGGATGAAGGAGCATAGGAGGTACAGCAGTATTGTCAATCTTAGGGAAGGGAGTGGTTTAAATGTATAAGCAGATTTAAAGCAAACAAACTGAAGCCAAATTCCAGCTCACACTTTATAATCAGTTACAACAAACCAGTTTTGTTTTTTTTTTGTTTTTCCTTTTTGGGAAAAATGTTTTGCATGAAAAAAAATAAAAGCAAAATGGTTTGTCTCATCAATGTAAATGGACACGGACTTATGGGATGGATCACCAGATGAAAATAGAAGAAAGCCTAAAAGAGAGACCAATGAAGCCACCAGAGCTAAAAACTGATAAGCTACAATATAAAAATGTTTACCTTTTGGGTTTAATGCTGCTTTAAAAGAGAAGTATGGGTTTGTTTGTTCCCAAGTTATACTTACCTAGGTGGATGCAATATCGGGCCGATGCTACATCTGTCCCCCACCGGCACTGTGTGTGAGAATGCAGCAATCACATGACCACCGAGTTCTCACCACCGGTGTGAGCAGAAAGTGGTGACGATCAGTGGTCAGCTCATTGGAGTGCTGGGCTGTGGAAAGGGAGGGTGCAGCTGGCTCAGGCTCTCTTAGTGCCTGGCTGAGAGGGTGAGACAGGTGCCGCTCCAGACTCTGGGGTGGATCCTGACTTTAAAGTCAGGATCTTTCCCCAGCTTGGACTGGCTGAGTTATGTCAGTGGACAGCAGGATTCAGTCCACTGTCAGCTTAAAACTGGCCACAGGAGTGCAGAACAAACTGCACTCCTGTGATCCACAGAAGTACAGACACTTCCTAGTTATAGTGTTTGTAAAGGCTGGAGGTTTTTTTTTTTTTTTTTTTTTACCTTCATGCATTCTATGTGTAGCATCCTTCCCAATACTTACCTGAGCCTCATTGCGATCTATGAATGACAGCCTCAGCTGTCCTGGGTCTCGGCCTCCTCATTGGCTGAGACAGCAAGCAGGAGCCATTGGATCCTGCTACTGTCAATCACAGCCAGTCAGCCAATGAGGAGAGAGGGGTCAGGGCCAAGCCTCAGCTCACACACACACGGAGCAGCAGGTGCCCCCATAGAAAACTGATTACCGTGGTGGCACCCGACCGACAGGAGAGCCTGCAGGGAATCCAAGAAGAGGAGGATCCAGGCTGCTCTGTGCACAGCAGGTAAGTATAGCATGTTTGTTATTTTACAAAAAAAACAAAACCTTTAGAATCACATATAAGGAAATGGACGCAAGGAGGTTTTCTCTCATTCTGGGAGGATGTCATATGATGTCCTCCCACTCTAATTGCAACGTGTGCAGCTCCGCGATCTGTGGTGCGTTGTGTCCCTTGGACACAGCGGATCATCGATCAATGGAAAGAGCCGAAGACATCTCACATCTGATTGCATTTAAATAAGGAAATGTTGGT